AAAAAAAAAAAAAATCCCTTATTAATGCTGTTAACTTGGCCATTTGAGCCAAGTCTATTAATTTAATAATCCATTCTTCCACTATAGGTATTTGTGAGTCCTTCCATCTTTGCGTGTAGAACAGTCTTGCAGCTGCGGTCATGTATAGAAGCAAAATTCCATGTTGTTTCTCCAGTCCTTTCTCCACCAATCCCAATAGGAACAGTTCTGGTTTTCTTTGAATACTCACTTTAAGAATCTTTGAATAGCAATTCATATCTGGTCCCAAAATTTTTTAGCCTTTTCACAGGTCCACCAAAGATGATAAAAGGTTCCTTCACCCTGCGAACATTTCCAACAAACATTTGTTATACCAGTATACATTTTTGATAACTTATCAGGAGTTAAATACCGGTAGTACATCATTTTATAAAAAAATTCTTTTAAATTATAATTCAACGTAAATTTCAAACCTTTGTTCCACATATTTTCCCATTGTTCCAGCATGATATTGGGTTCCTTCACCCTGCGAACATTTCCAACAAACATTTGTTATACCAGTATACATTTTTGATAACTTATCAGGAGTTAAATACCGGTAGTACATCATTTTATAAAAAAATTCTTTTAAATTATAATTCAACGTAAATTTCAAACCTTTGTTCCACATATTTTCCCATTGTTCCAGCATGATATTGTATCCAAAGTTTTTAGCCCATTTAATGATACATTCCTTGACTTGTTCATCTTCTAGGTTCATCTGTAACAACATCTTATACATTTTAGCAATAACATGTTCATCATTTGTATGAAGTTGAGTCTCAAAGTAAGATGCTTCATTAACAAATCTATAGTTCTTTTTATCCAGCTTAAAACATTCAAACAATTGCATATGAGTAAACCAATGACATATAAAACCTTCTGATTCTGTTTTCTTGTTTTAAAACTTGGTTCACCCTCCTCAAAATTTAATAAATCTTTATATTTTCACCACTTCATTTCTCCCATATTTTCTCTTCTAGTAAATGCTTCCTGAGGTGACAGCCACAAAGATACATTAGGAGACAGGCTTACCTTATATTTGTTCCAAATATGCAGTAAGGTATTTTTGTTTTTTGTTTATTTACTTTAAAACCCGCTAGTGAGCCAAATTCCTTCAGTTTCTTCATCAAGTACTCGGCAGATTCCAGAGGATCTTGTTGTATCAAAACTAAGTCATCAGTAAAAGCCCTCGTTTAAAAACCTCTTGTTTAATCTTTAAGCCCTTTATTTGTTCGTCCCTTCTAATGTCTCTGTTAAGAACTTCAAGAACCAAAATAAAGAGCAAAGGCGATAACGGGCAACCTTGTCTTGTTCCTTTTTGTATATGACATAATTCAGTTAATTCTTCATTCACAATAGTACTAGCCTTCTGAGGCATATAGATTGACTTTATTCCCTGTACAAAATGTTCTCCAAAGTCCATACTTTCCAAAACTTTAAACATAAACATCCGATTCAAATTATCAAAGGCTTTCTCTGCATTCAAAAATATAAGAGCCGTCTGACATTCACTATGGTATTGTAGATATTCTGTAATATCCAGCACAACTTTGACATTGTCTCTTAACTGTCTTTTAGGCAGAAATCCACATTGATCATCGTGAACAAATTCCTGCAAGACCTTTTTTTAACCTTTCTGCCAACACTGAAGTAAATATTTTATAATCATTGTTCAACAGTGAAATTGGTCTACAATTCCTAATTAAAAGAGGATTCTGTCCTTCTTTAGGTAAAAGTGCAATGTTGCTTCCTTCCATGAATCAGGCATTGCTGCACCCAACAAAATGGAACTCATCAATCTTTTAAAAGGTAAAAAAATCTCATCTTCAAAACATTTATAATATATTGCAGGTAGTCCATCAGGTCCTGGTGCTTTTCCCAATTTATTTCTCTTTATAGCTTCAACTATTTCAAAGGTAGTTATAGGACTGTTCAATATTAATTTCTGTGACTGTGAAAGTTTTGGTAAATTTTACTTATTCAAATATTCATCAACCTTTTCCAAAGAGATTTCTTATTTTTTATATAAATTGGAAAAGAAGTTATGAAATGCTTTTTTGATCTTTTCATTGTCCAGTAATTCCACATTTCCTTCTTGAATTTTAGAAATCATTTTCTTCTCTCTCTTTTTCCTTAGTTTGTGTGCTAACCATCTTCCTGGTTTATTAGCAAATTCAAAGTGTCTCTGTTTAGTATATCTTAATTTCATTTCAATTTCTTTCACAGTCAACATTGAAATTTGCTGGTGTAATAACTTAAGTTAATAAACAGTATTATTATCAGATGGTTTTTCCTACAGTTCCTTCTCCTTCAGCTTAATCTGATCTAAGATCATTTGTAATTTTTGTTGAGACTTTTTCTTAAGAGTGCGATTATGATAAATGAAATTTCCCCTCATAACTGCTTTACTGGTATCCCGCACTGTTTTTAAATCTGCATCTTTATCTAGATTACTCTCAAAAAAGTCCTTTAATTTCCTCTTACGGTCCTCCACGACATTTTCTTCTTGCAAAATAGCTTCATTCAATCTCCACCTAAAAGACCTAGCAAATTTTCTAATTAACATGCTTACAGCATTATGATCAGAAAAAGTCTTTGGTAAAATATCCACTGTAGAAATTTTATTTGCCAAGTCCATTGAGACCCATATCATATCAATTCTTGAAAAAGATTTATGTCTCTCTGAATGAAAAGTAAAATCTTTTGCCAGTCCATTTTTATTTCTCCATGAATCCACCAATGCCAAATTGTCCATTAAGTCAAAAAAAGACTTTGGTAATTTTCCTTGCTTGGTTTTAATTTGCTTTCCAGATGTTTTGTCAATCAGTGATGAAGCAACTCCATTCCAATCTCCCATTAGACACCAACTTTGGTACGAGAAAGCTGACAGTTCATTCAAAAGCTGCATAAAAAATTTGCTCTTGTCATTGTTCGGAGCATATATTCCAACAACCATCATTTTAAGTCTATATATCTCCACTTCAACAACTACATATCTACCATGATCATCTATTAACCACAAACGTGGTTTCAGGTGATTTTTAACATATAATACAATTCCGTTTAATTTCTTCGAATTAGCTGAGACAAATTCCTGTCCCAAATTCTTATTTATCAAATATTTTGTATCTTTCTTCTTTATATGTGTTTCTTGTAAACAAATTACATCATATTTCAATTTATTCAGATAGTGAAAAACTTTTTTTCTTTTCTGTGGAGCATTTGCCCCATTTATATTCCACGTAAGACATTTCAAAGCCATCTTTATGCAGATGATTCACCACAGTCTTTAGGAATGACAGCTGTTTCTTTCCCATATGTAACAACATCCATTTGCTTAATTACAGATGTATCCTGTTCCAAGTTGGTTCCAGATCTAGCTAAGAAATCCTTAGCCTTAGGAATCGAAGTTAATTTAAATCTTTGGGGGGGATAGGAAAAACTTATCCCTTCCAGTTTTTCTCAATGAAAGGGGATTTTATTCTTTTTCAAAACATTTGTCAGGAATGCATATTCTTTTCTCTACCTTAAAATCCTTACTGGTATTTCTTTAAAGACCATTATATCCACATTCTTAATATTAAGTTTAGAGTCAAAATGCGCTTGCAAAATCAAATTCCTTGTTTTTCTCCTAGAGATGTACCAACACATCTCTTGGCTTACCACGTACAATTGAATATCTAGAATTTATACAAAAAACTTTTTCTATCTCATCTAACATTTTATCTCCTTCCCAATCAATTAGTTCACCAAGGCACATGTAATCATATTTGTTAAATTTTCTTCTTTAACTACAGGGATTCCCCTGAGCCTCAGACAAAACTCTTCATCTCTCAACTCCAATAATGCAATTTTCTCCAGCTCTTTTTCCCTTTCAGCTTCCAGCAGATCAACTCTATCATTAAGATTTTTGATCTCTCCTCCCAATTTCTTCTCCATTTTTTCAGTTTTTTAATCAATTTTTTGATCAAGCCTTTTTTCAAGTTCAAGAAACTTTAAGTCAAGTGCCTAAGTAACACTTTGGGTAATCATTTGTGTATTTTTAAAGTATATTCTTCAAATGTACCTTTTATCCAGTCAAATTCACCAGACCCATGCCTTGTTAACTTTCTGGTAGCCATTGTCTCTATTTCTATCTTCTCCTTTCCCCCCTTGGTTAGAAAGAGAAAGAAAAAAGCTATTTCTTCCTTTCAGTAATCCAATAGTCCAAATATAATGCTTTATCTCCCTCTTGTGGCCCAAAATAATATTCCCCAAAGTCAAATATCCACAACTAGTGACAAACCAGATATCCACAACTAGTGACAAAGCAAGGGGGGAGTCTACAGCCAATCACAGCTTGAGAAAATCACCAGACCAAAACTTTCTCACAGTGTCTAAAAATAGATCACTCTCAACTCCACGAGAAGCAACTTTAATAAAAATCTTTGTCAGGTTCAGCCCAAGAAACTCAGCAGGACGATTTTGGAACAGCTCAATTACTTTATTAGCTTACACCTACTAGACAGAATCTAGCCAGACTAACTCTAACCCCCAAAGACTGCAACTAAACACTCCGAATTC